GATCCCTGAAGGCAAATTCTCTTTTTCCCGGTTCCTATTTAGAGAGTGTCGACTGTGCAGCAACAACACTAACCACACAATCTAAACTGACAAATCGAGGCAGCAGCAGCAGCCCGGCAACCACTGTGTTTTTTTAAGCAAAATTACCATTTCATCAAAAGAGAGCTGTGGCTTTAGAGACCAGATAACAGCTTCGACTCCGTGGCGGAAAGGCTTGTGTGAAAATGTAGCGTACATCTTAAACTGAAATTAATCATTTCTATGACAGGCCTTTCTTTTAGGAGGTACATTATACTTGTGCTGCTGCTCCAGTCCAGAGCAGCTCAGCTCCTGTAGCAAGCCAAGCACAGCTGTGCCCGAGAAAGGCCTCACACAGCCGGAAATGGAAAATATTTATCTGTTCTTGATCAGTAAAAAGCTCAGGCTGAATGGAATGGAAAGTATATCATATGATTTGAAGTAGAACCCAGTGTGATTCATAACATGCAACGGTCCACTGCTGTAAATAAAATGACAAAGGGATTGCTTGCACTCTAGGACCCTAAAAACAAGCAGAAGAAGAAGACGTTTGACTCCCCCAATGCAAACACACTTTCAGCTGGACCGTGTAATCCAGGCAGCTATTTTCCTTTTCTATTTACTGGGCATCTTTGTAAGTGGTGTCTTCAGAGCTATCGGCTCCTGGGCTAACCTCCAACATGCTGGCATTTTGTCGGCTGCTGCACGGCTGATGTGTTGACCTCTCGAACCCCACCGTGATTGTCTAATGCGGTTAAGTGCCTCCCGATTGTGAGCAAAGCGGAGTGTTGATAATGTCTAACAGATTATCCTCCTGTGTCACACACACTTTGCAAACATGCAGCAGCACGTAGGTACACATTTCAGTACACACACACACACACACACACACACACACACACACACACACACACACACACACAGACACACACACACAGACAGACATCTACACACAAGCACTCTTTGCTCACGATCCCCACAGTAAACAATTTGGTGATTCACTGACGCTTCAGAATGTTTTCAGATGGCCTCGGACACAGCTGACATGTTGACAATCGGATGTTGAAACATGTCAAGTGTTTTCTGGTGTGTTTATTTTGGAGGCTGCGTTGAGCAAATTCGTCCCTCAATGTATTCATGGTGTTGACCTAAACCTCCGCTTTTCCGGTATCCCTTCGAATTGATCTGCTAAAATCCTGCTATCAAAAATGTAGACTTTAATTTTTTTTTAGCTATCAAATTATGAGGTGTTGTATAAGTGACAAACATGTGTTGATAGAGCGAACACTATAAAACACCTATACATCCACGCACTCACACATCAGCGATCAATTTCACATCGGCCCTTCACCCTTTTTCCTCCTCTCAGCCTTGTAACCTCAGCCTCCTCTATGGTGACTCGAGCTGTCAACAGATGGCCGAACCCACACGGTGACTGTTGATTTAGTCAAAGATGTGAAAAAAAACCAGGTGTCCCACTCTCCTATTCTCCAGCCCTTCTTTCTTGTGGTGATGAATTTAAATAAGCGGCTTAAGTTGTGGTGCGAAAGCCTGTATGGTCAACTCTAAACAGCAGATTTTTCTCATCATCATAGCACTCATGTTTTTTAACTGAGTTATTTGGGAACCCAGATTCCCCCTGAGTATTGCCAAAGCAATGGAAACATTGTACCAATAGGCAGACCCAAGGTCAGTGCTGACCACTATTTTGAGCATATTTTATCATCTGAGGCTCTGCACTCCTGGGCTTCACATTAGAAAGTCTAATGGAAACTTAGTTTTTAAGATCCTTTTATAGAAGTTGCTGAGTAAAGGAACGAGGATGGGGCAAGGGAATGGTCCTTACGGTATTACATTACATTGCATTTAGCTGACGCTTTTATCCAAAGCGACTTACAATAAGTGCGTTCGACCAACAAAATACAAACTTGAAGAAAACAGAATCATATAAGTACATCAGGCTTCATAGAGCAAAAACATTTCAAGTGCTACTTAACTGGCTTTAGATAAGCCAGCCCTTTATTAGTATATAAGTGCTTTGTTAATAGTTCTATCGCTCGAAGTGGAGTCGAAAGAGATGAGTTTTCAGTCTGCGCCGGAAGGTGTGTAAGCTATCTGCTGTCCTGATGTCAATGGGGAGCTCATTCCACCATTTAGGAGCCAGGATAGCAAACCCACGTGTTTTTGCTGATGGAACTTGGGTCCCCTTCGCAGCGAGGGTGCAGCGAGCCGTTTGGTTGATGCAGAGCGGAGTGCACGTGCTGGGGTGTACGGTTTAACCATGTCCTGGATGTAGGAAGGGCCAGATCCATTCGCAGCTTGGTACGCAAGTACCATTGTCTTGAAGTGGATTCTAGCAGTTATCGGAAGCCAGTGAAGGCAGCGGAGGAGCGGAGTGGTGTGGGAGAATTTAGGAAGGTTGAAGACCAGGCGAGCAGCTGCATTCTGGATGAGCTGCAGAGGTCGGATGGCACATGCAGGTAGACCAGCCAGGAGGGAGTTACAGTAGTCTAGGCGTGAGATGACGAGAGCCTGGACCAGAACCTGCGTCGCTTTCTGGGTCAGCTGGGGACGCATCCTCCTGATGTTGTAAAGCGTGTATCTGCAGCAGCGGGTTGTAGCAGCTATGTTTGCAGTGAAGGACAGGTTGTTATCTAGGGTCACACCCAGATTCCTTGCAGTCTGAGTCGGGGAAACAACAGAGGTGCCAATGTTGATTGTTAGGTCAAGAGTGGGACAATCTTTTCCCGGAAGGAAGAGCAGTTCAGTCTTGTCAAGGTTGAGCTTGAGGTGATGATCAGACATCCACTGAGAGATGTCAGCTAGACAAGCAGAGATGCGTGCGACGACCTGGGTCTCTCCTTTGTGTACAAGGAGAAGAGGAGGGGACCAAGAACAGAGCCCTGAGGGACCCCTGTAGTTAATTGACAAGGGTCGGACTCGGACCCTCTCCAAGTAACCCTGTAGGTGCGGTCTTTGAGGTATGAGGTGAGGAGGGAAAGTGCAGAGCCTGAAACTCCAAGTGCTTGGAGAGTGCGAAGGAGAATCTGATGATTCACCGTGTCGAATGCAGCAGACAGGTCCAAAAGGATGATGACAGAGGAGGGGGAGGCTACTTTAGCAGTGTGCAGTTCCTCAGTGACAGCAAGGAGGGCAGTTTCTGTGGAGTGACCTGCCTTGAAACCAGACTGGTGCGGATCCAGAAGGTTGTTCTGATGGAGATAGCAGGAGAGTTGTCTAAAGACAGCGCGTTCTGTGTTTTAGACAGGAACGGGACAGGCCTGTAGTTTATAACATCTGACGGGTTGAGAGTGGGTTTCTTTAGGAGAGGGTTTACTCTTGCCTCCTTGAGACTGTTTGGAAAGTGACCAGAAGTTAGAGAAGTGTTGATGAAATGGGTGAGAAACGGTAGAATATCAGGAGCGATAGTCTGAAGGAGGTTTGAAGGGATAGGGTCCAGAGGACAGGTGGTAGGGCAGGCAGAGGTAATGAGGGTAAGAACCTCACTTGGAGAGAGAGGGGAAAAGGAGGTCAGTGTGTGGGTGAAAGGAGGGTCTGGTGACCCAGCGGTGAGTAGAGGTGAGTCAGAAAAAGAAGAGCGAATATCATCAACCTTTTTTTCAAAGTGGTTAACAAAGTCGCTTGACAGAAGGGAGGAGGGGGAAGGGGCTTTGGGGGGGTCCAGGAGGGAGGAGAAGATGGAAAATTGTTTTTTGGGATTGGAATAGGAAGATTGGATCTTATCTTGAAAGAAAGTGCTTTTTGCCTGAGAGATCGAAGCAGAGAAAGAGGAGAGGAGAGCCTGATAGGTTAGGAGGTCGTCACGGTGTTTGGATTTCCACCATTTCCGCTCTGCTGCCTGAAGGACGGTTCTATTAGCACGCAGTGCATCATTTAGCCAGGGAGCAGGAGGGGACTGACGAGCCTGCCGAGATGTGAGACGACAGAGAGAGTCCAGAGAGGATGAGAGAGTAGAGAGGAGAGTTTCTGCAGCAGAGTTTGGAGGTAGGAGTTGGAACGAGTCAGAGGAAGGGAGGGCTGAGAACACCGATTAGGCAAAGGTAGAGGGGGAGAGGGAACGAAGGTTACGGCGGACAGGTGCAGGATGGGAAGAGATTAGTTTGTTATGTTTGGAAAGGGGTAGAGAGAATGGTACGGTATGTCCTTCTTGACACGAAACACCGATATGGAGATTTTGTTATTTGTTATGGGTTTGAAAATACATCTCTTTTAACCTACCTACATGTTTCTGTTAACATGCTAATACGTTGTCTGCTTTTTGTAGGAAAACCATGAGGCAAATAGGGACTGATTTCTTTAAAGAGCACTGAGAGTCATTAAGGTTGCATTTTGTCATTTAAAAGTGGCATGGCACATATTGCAAGCTATTGAATATCAAACCCACCCACCAATAGACATCATTTCATAGAGTATGATGCTTAACCCTTAAAGACCTAGACGGAATTTTCGCCTGCCTGACTCTCCTGTATTTATTTGTTTCTCCTAACCTGTTCTAACCTTTTCTTGCAGTCAGCATCAAGTGCCTTACCTCATTTGATTCAGGAGAACCTCTAGTTCAAGTCTGGCTAATTTGAAGTCCAAATTTTACCATAACTTTGTGTGATAATGGCTGAATTTACCAGCACTTTTCAAAAACGCCAGTACAAATGTTGTGTTTTTTTACTGTTTACTCCGCCAGGAACATAGGGATTTTCTTTTTTATTATTTACAAAGCTGCATTTAGATGTTTTAGGCTTTCAAATTAAATTTCATCTGCATATTATGTTCCCTGAGCAAGTTACAGCTATTTATTACAATATTATCCTAGGCGTTTTTCAGTGAAAAACGCCTAGGATCATATGGAATAATTAAAACGAAATGTATTTCCATATTTAAATGACTGATCATGTTTCTTCTGTCAAAAAAAAGGTTGAGAGAGTAAACAATTAAACCATAACAGATGACATTGCAACAAAAATAACTTGTTTCAGAGATATATATTATAATTTGAACATTGAAATACAAACACAAACAGTGAAACAAATTCAAAGTGCAAATTAACAAAGTGCAAATTATATTAAAACTATAAACAAAGTATTAGGAATATATAGAAAGTGCAAAAGTACAAAGAGCAAATGATCTTCAAACTATAACCAAAATATTAGAAAAATATATAAAGAGCAAAGGAAATGTATCAAGATTCATCATGGTCTGGGTCGCTCAGATGTACAGCTCTGCTGATTGCCATGAACCTGTCTCTTGTCATGATAGAAGCAGGAAAGAGAACACTCAGGTGTGATCCCTTCCTCCAGTAGTCTCTTACTTTGAGCAGTTTTAGAAGTGCCATGAACATCATAAGGCCGACATACATGAGGAATTTTACCGGCTTTCCCAAACAAACTTTTCCCCCTTAGCCTGCTCCTTTTCAGCATTTTTGTTTGTGTTCTTGCAGATGATATTTACAGCTTGGTTGTTAAAACAATTTCTAAATATTTGTGCAGGAGTATACTCCACACCAACAAAACCTTGGACTCCAGGGGCTCTTTTCGGGCAAAAGTGTGGTAGTTGTTGGGCAGTATCTGGCACCTCAGGTCCGTTCCAAACAGCTCCTGGCTCTTCTGGGGTCAGAGATGTTTTTTTCCCTTTTCCTCTTCCTCTCCCTTTCACTGTCAGGGGGGCTGGCATTGGTTTGGCCTTTTTTCTGGATGCTGCACCCTCCTGGCCGCATTCTTTTCCCTCTCGGTTTGAAGGAGGCCTACTGATGGGGACAGTGGCTTGTGCATCCCCTCTCTCATCCTCTGTCCTAAAATAAAAGGGAGGAAAATATGTCTGAATTTATTTTATTTCCTTTATTGCTTTTATTTCTCCAGTGTCATCCTATCTGTTTTCTAAACACAGTCTCAACTTTTGATTTGATTCACACTTTATCCCTCTGCTAACATTACTAGTTGATGGAATCAGTAACTGAATTGTAATGCAATGAATATAATAACATTAGACCTCATAACAAACAACCAAAGAGGGCAAGCGGAATGAGGCAATAAATGAAAGGTATTGCTTGACGTTTTTTTTACTGAAATAAATAGTAGCCTCTATTGATAGTGAATCTTGAGCTCAGGACTTCACTTTATGACACAATTACTGCAAATGGCCATCCATTATAAAAACTCTTAGGACTAATTATTTTCGGCGTTATACAGCAACAACAACCGATAAATGCAACACAAACAATAAGAAATAAGCAAAGTTACTCACTTTTTTATCTTCGAAGGGATCAATCCCGTGATCATACTCCTCTTCCTTGCCAGTTGTCAGCTTCAGAATCTGAGGAATCCACCGCTGCATCGCTAAGCGGTCCGCCAGACAAAATACATTCTACGGCTTCTTCCGTAGTGTAACGCCGTTTTGACATGTTGGTTTGAATTTGTCTTGGGATATGTGTGTGTGTGTGTGTGTGTGTGTGTGTATGTATTTGTGTGTGTGTGTGTGTGTGTGTGTGTGTGTGTGTGTGTGTGTGTGTGTGTGTGACTGTATCTAGATATCTCGTGTTGTATGTATTTCTCTTACGCTGGCAGAATTACTCTTCTTTAGTATTACTCTCTCGTCTCTCTGTTTCTCTTTGTTTATCTCCCGCCGCCAAAAACATACACAGCAACCTATGTTGATTGGTCGAGAAGATGGTAGCATGGGCAGAGGTTTGCCTGGACCTTTACATTTTAAACCTATCCGGACACAGGGGGGTGGGACTTAGTCTAAAACCTTGGCTGTTTGGCTCAGACAGAGGGGCCGCGTGGGTCTCCTTGACGAATCAAGGCTGTAAAATGTGATAACTTTGCCCCGATCACGTCGGAGCCTCTAAATCCCGGAAAAGGACATAGTGATACCAGCAAAAAGCCTAGAATAGCCGCTTTACCTCACTTTTTAAATCAGATGGATAGAATTAGCGGTTAAAAAGTTATTAAGCATTTTAGAACGCTACCTCTTTGAAGCCGCGGGCGGCTCGCTCGGCCTTTAAGGGTTAAAGTGTCATAATAATAAACTTTGTTGAGTGGAGTAACATCTGCAGTTAATCTTTAAAAAAAAAGTAGTGTACCCTAAATCCCATAGAGGCAGATGTCTCACACAGTATTCCTCAGTAGGGAGTTGAGTGTCACACAGCACCAGATCTGGTTAAGGTGTGTGGCCTGCATGTTTCTGGGAAGGTATGCCTGCTGCATAAATACTATTGTTCCTGTTGCATTAAGTTTCATTTTGCAAGCTTTATCGCCTGCTGAGGGAGCTACAGATTCAGAGAGATACCCTGATATGATACAGACTACAGCAAACACATTCACGATACACACAATTGGAACAAAACTGCACACACACACATTCACACACACCTGCCTGTCTCTTTAGGCATCTTTGATCTCTTCTCTTCTGTTCCTCTCACTATTTTCTTTTCATTCACAGTTTCCATTGAAGCCAATTCTCAACCATCTGCTCTTTTATTCAGCAGGGTCTTCGGCCCCGGGCCGGCACCGAAGGTCAGAGTGTGTGTGTGTGTGTCAGTGGACAATGACCCAGCCGGACAACTCCCCCTCACACACTTCAAACACTGCGCGCCCAGTCCATCTGCATCTTTCAAGATGGGTGTTAGGTGCACAGAGAGGTGAGAGAGAATGGAATGGTGTGTGTGTGTGTGTGTGTGTGTGTGTGTGTGTGTGTGTGTGTGTGTGTGTGTGTGTGTGTGTGTGTGTGTGTGTGTGTGTGTGTGTGTGTGTGTGTGTGTGTGTGTGTGTGTGTGTGTGTGTGTGTGTGTGTGTGTGTGTGTGTGTGTGTTTGAATGAGTGCACATTAAGTGAGTGTGCCTCTCCATAAGAGCCTTGTCTGCTCACATCCACATATCTATTCATCATTTGTTCATACCCAAGAGAATTTGGCACTTAAAAGCAGACGATATCTCTGATCGATACAAACAGTCCAGAAGTGTTAACGTCTGCTCGTCTTACAAGAGTAATACTAGCCCCTACTCTCATTGATTTCAAAAGGAAAGATCATTATGGGCTGGACTTAGCTTTTGTTTTCCTTAGGCTCAGCAGTGGACCAATAGCATTGCCAGAGATAAAGCTTTGAATGACCAAAGCCATTTTCATGCTTCATGGAATTCACCTCATTTCATGATGATGAAATATAAAAAAATACTAATCATAACTAACTTGACTCCTTGCTACATGCACTAGTAGCTCTGTGATACAATTGAGAATTTACTAAGCATGATGCATTTTATGCCATTTCAGTTGTTAGCACAGAGATTTACAACATCATATAATAGTAATATCTGTCTTATTAGGTCGGGAGAATCTGTCAGTTTAAAGAAGGATGCTCGCTGACTCACAGGGAATACTTCAAGTGTCATTAATGAGCTGAAGATATGTTTGACAAAGTGCCAAACTGTCAAAGTGATGTAAAACATGATCTTTGGAAAGTTGTCAATTTGAGTTAAAGATAAAAAGCTCTATTAGCTGGTGTTCACTGGTCAAGTTTAAAATCTATGTCTACGTACATCTGCAAACTGCTGTGATGCCCGTCATGTTTTCATTCCAATGGGTATACAATCATTGTTTTTATTCAGCACTGGGATCAAGGAGGAACCTTTGACCAACCTGTACCAGCGACGTGTGGACTTTGATCCGTCACGTCACATTTGGAGTGAAGATTTATAACTTTCTTCCATCTGGGAACCATCTCACTGTGACTTCAATGGGCGAGTAAAGCTCTGCTCTTGTTATCCCTCTGTTTAAAGGAAGAAGAAGGAGGAGAGAGAAAGTCGGGTCGTAAATTGGTGATACTGAGAGGAGTGGACCTATAATACCAGTTAATGGGTCTCCTGTCAAATAGCTGAGTGGCCAAAAAAGAGTAGCAGCCAGTTGTTTGGCCTGAAATAAAGCTCCACTGAATTCCCAACATGGAAATATTTAATGTAATGCGATTTAAGATCAACTAAGGAATTAAAAGGAGGATGTTTACACTGCAGCGAAGCACGATTAACAGTCAAAAGTCTTTGTATTTATTACTGAAGGTTTGAAGTTCGAGACATCTTTGCTATAATGGAACCGTCTTTTCACATTATTCTTCCTTTCTACAGTCTAAATATACATGGCGCCCATTCCAAACATTTAGTGGTGTACAAATAGAATATAGCAATGCATTGTTAGTCATATCAATGATATTGTATTATTTTATGTCTGTTTTTAAAGCAGTTTATCATAAAATAAGGCATCAAACAGAACGAAGAACTTCTTCTATGAGATGAGAACAAAGCAGTTAGAGATTGATCAACATCTGTGTTTATTCCTCACTTCTCAAGAACTGGATATTTGTTCCGTCTCATTTCCAGTAATACAGATGCTGGTAATGACACATGCAAACCTGCCTGAACCATCTATTGTCCAGATTTAGTTTAGAACAACTTCTTTTTGGAGAAACTTAAGAAGGAATACTATGTTAGTGAAAGCTGTGACTGAAGGGCTTAATTTCTTGCCTTTTATTAACCAAAAAAAACACAAGAGCGAAAGTTCAAGGAATGGGATAAACAATGTTGGTCCAAAAGCACATTTTGTCTGTCACGCTCCAGAGCAGCTTCTGTATATACCAATGTGGTGAAATGATCTTGTTAACTACTGTTTCCAATGTAGAGAATGTATTTACAATCTCATTATGTCTTGTTTCTCAAAAGAGACTTTAAAGCAAACTTGAGTGTAAACTCAGAGCCAGAAATATAACATTTGGTTGTGGTTGAGATGCAAATTCAAGTAGCAACCATGCAGCTGATTGTGATTTGCTAAAACAATTTTCCTTAACTCAAACATGTCCTCAAACTTAGCTCTTTGAGGCTTAAAGGTGGGGTAGGTAATTCACTTCAGAAACACTTTTTATTATATTCCATGGATAGCAATGAATATATTAAATGCTTTGACAATAAATACATAAACATATTTCATCTGTGGAAGCCGTGGCGCTGTAAAAAGCACGACCAATCATTTTAGCCGGCTAGGCTAAAATAACTGGATGGCCTTCCTGCCTGTCAGCCTTCCATCTGTGCACAAACTTATCTCGTGCCCTCATTGGTCATGTGCGCGTTCGTATGTTGGAGGAGGGGCTCTGTAAGGAAGTCTGAAGGAAGGGGCAGATTTTTTTCGGCTGCATACTTTCAAATTCTAGCTCACTCGAGCTGGTTTCTCCATTCTTACCTAGCCTACCTTTAACAAACCTGGATCTCATCATGGCAGAGGCATCTTATCATGAACAAACCTCCAGGATATTAACCAGCATTGGATCAACAAACAAAAAAGATACAAATACCTCATTCACACCTACTGTGTTTCAGGGCCGGTTCGGAGCTGGAGCTTGAAAAGCACCGGGTTTTCCTCTTCACACCGCAGCGGAGCAGCCTCTTAGCTCCGGAATCCGGTTCGTTTCAAGCACCCAAAAATTGTCCGGCCAGAGCAAAAGCACCACATGCAAAAAGACATGAACATGACGCAGAGACAGATCAACTCCTGAACAACAACAAAAAGCCCGCGTTTTATCCAGTTTGTTCACAACGATGGAGAAAGAGTTTCAGAGTTTCTGCCATAGACTGTATATATAAAGGTTCTGCTCATGGTGAAGCAACGTGTCTGCGTGTTAAGGTGGAACCTGAGCATTCACGTTGATCACCTCTCATTATAACTAATTATAAATCTATAAATATTAAACTTTACTTCACGTGCTCATTTGAGAACAGCTGTTACATACCTGGGTGAAGGTTACAGTTCATTTAAATGAAAGACACAACGTTACTCCGCACTCATGGTTCAGTCCACCTTAAGAAATAAGACCGACCTCGGAAGCAGTTGTGTTTTAAAAAAACCTTTATTGACACGAGTACACTTTTTTATAAGAATTTAACTAAACCACAGAAATGACTCCGGAAAAGCTGCAGATAGAGCCATAAGAAATGAATGCAACTGATTTCATCCGCGCGGTTTGGCTTTATGAAGCAGGCACGCAAACGGTTACGTCATGACGCAAACGATGACGCAACGACGCATTACCAGTCGGACTCTGGGCGGTGTGAAAAGAGCCAGAGCTAACTGGTTCTGAACCTGAAACTGGTTCTGAACCTGAAAAGCTCTAGCACGGAGCTTGAACCGGAGTTGCGTTGGTGTGAATGAGGTATTAGCTCCGGAATCCGGTTCGTTTCAAGCACCAAAAAATTGTCCGGCCAGAGCAAAAGCACCCCATACGTCACGCTTACGTCGAGGCGGGGGCAGGGGCGGGATCAACTCCTGAACAACAACAAAAAGCCGGCGTTGTATCCAGTTTGTACACAACGATGGAGAAACTTAACAAGCAGCAGTGGTCCACTGAAGAGACCAGCTACCTACTGGGAATCTGGTCTTCCGAAGAGGTACAGAGGAAGCTGGAGCACAATCAGCCATTGTTGTTGGTGTTGGTGTCAGCTGTGAGGGGTTTCCGCGCGGTTTGGCTTTATGAAGCAGGCACGTAAACAGTTACGTCATGACGCAAACGATGACGCAATGACGCAGCACCAGTCGGACTCTGGGCAGTGTGAAAAGAGCCGGAGCTAAACCGAAGAACCGGTTCTGAACCTGAAAAGCTCTAGCACGGCCTTGAACCGGAGTTGCGTTGGTGTGAATGAGGTAAAAGAGAATACTTCTATAGTGGCTTTCCGGGTGTGTGTGTGTGTGTGTGTGTGTGTGTGTGTGTGTGTGTGTGTGTGTGTGTGTGTGTGTGTGTGTGTGTGTGTGTGTGTGTGTGTGTGTGTGTGTGTGTGTGTGTGTGTGTGTGTGTGTGTGTGTGTGTGTGTGTGTGTGTGTGTGGGGATAGCCAGTCTGGCTGCCCTTTTAATCTCTCTCTTTCTAGAATATGTTGGCAGGATTGCTGGGTTTTTCTCTGACAAGGACAACAGGCTCAAGTTCTCTGAAAACATGCCTGCTGCATTTGTAGATGGACAGAATAAATG